CTGAGCTTAACATCAAACCTCTTTTTAAACATTCTGCCGGCGATCTGTCTTCTGACCAACAGGAGTAACTGTGGTGGTTATCTTGTCCCAGGCAGCGTTTCTCCTTTCACTGCTCATCCCAACATTAATGCACCAAACAATAGTCTCTGGTTTGCTTCAACCTCGCTGACGAGTACCTCGATCTCAGTTTCAGAGAAGTTCCTCTTCGTCGTCCTTTTTGCCGCGATGATGACGACAGGTGAGGAAAAGAAACCTTCACTTGTTTATAAAGAGGTGTGTTGCTGCCGTATGTGGTGATGTGGAGGCGTTCCTGAAGGCAACGAGCACGGAGGTTAAGAACCAGTGGGATCTACCAACACTGATGATACCACCCCCGTACGCACGTTTGATAAATACAGATTTCTTTGTACTTACACTCTAAATTTCATGCGTACGACAGAATTTAGAAGCTTTTCTAGGCACTGATGATAAATGAGGCCCCTGGAGAGTCCATCCTGACCTGTGCTGTCAGTTTATCGAGGTGAGACTGTTGTGAGCTATCTATCTATACTTATAGCTAACTAGCAGCTCTCTAACTCGTTAGCTACGTGGACTTCAAGGACCTGGAACTCTGAATCATTCACAGTATGAAGGTAGAATGAAGGAAGAATACAGCTACAGCAGGTCCAGAACCACATGTTCTGAGGGACATTCAGCCGAACCCGGTTGCTGGTTTCAGCAGCAGCTCCAGAAACTTGACTCCAGTCAGGATCAGCGATAACCTGCGTGACCTCAGCAGCCCACCTGGCAGGAGGAGCCACATGGTCCTAGAGAGTCACAGTTCAGCTCCTTCAGTCCTGATCCCGGTGACGTGAACTGAAACTCCAGATGCAGTTTATTTTCTGAATCACTCATTAAACTCCGACATCAGCAGAGAACCGGTTTCTGTCTGAGCTCTGAATCTGTTTCCTGTGAAACGTCGGCTCTTTAAATCTGCTTCTCACTGCCCTGCATGACTTCATAGTAATTATTATAATCGACATGTCATATTCACTTTCAGTTATTCGCTGTGTTTCTGTCATGTCTTGTGATTTTCTGATCTGAACACTTTGTCCATCGGACAGAAAAATGTGATAAAGTTTTGTATTTTTACACGATTCGATGCTGCTTTACGGATTTTTCAGCAGATATGCAGCAGATGATGTGTTATATTACAATTAATGCTTTGTTCAGTCACGTTTTAAAAACAAAAAAAAAAGAAGAACAAAACAGACTGTCGTGAATTTAACATCTGCTTTGATGAGGCGTCCCTGAGAGGTGATCATGTGACAGATATGTGCTGTTATTGTACAGAACAGGAGAAGAAAAGCACAACGTTTAAAATGAGTGGAGCCGCGAGACGGACTGTTTCCTGTCTGGTCATGACTGATCGAGGCCTGGTATTATTATTATAATATAATAATAATAATAATAATAATAATAATAATAATTATTATTATTATTATTATTATTATAACAATAATAACAATAAAGTGAGTACCTTAAGTTTTATATTTTTAATTCATTGTCATTACTACGTAGGC